TATAATTAAAAAGAAAGCTATAATTGATGAGGTGTTTCAAGGTAGTTAAAAAGTATTTTGCAGTTTCTGGAAATAAATGATATTGGAATAATAGTAGTTTTTAATGATTTTTTATATAAAAAACGATATTCAAAATAAAACCGCAGCTGCTTTATATGCTGCCAAATAATGCATTTAATTTTTTTTATATGGTTGATAAATAGTGCATTCATACTTTGCTTTTACTAATTGGTCAATTTTTTTTAATCATGTTGATATCATTTTTGAATGATTTTTTTATTTATTTTTCTTTGATTTGGTATATTTATGGTGAAGGGGAAACTTATTTATGAATTATGATGGTTGTAATGTTTTTTTGGTTAAGTTTAGATCTCGTAGTGAAATGGTTTAGTTTTCGTTTTAGTAAACATATTTTGAATAATTTCCATAAATTTTTAAAATATGAATATATTTTATATTATCTTACATCACATCACACTTTTTATGTTTAAAACCGATTAAAACAGGTGCACGGAATATAATATAAAAAAAATTATTATTTATGAAAATACGTCCAGTCTATTCGACACGAATCAAGTAGTAATAATATATACTTTGATTAAAATATTTTTCCTTGTTTTCTTTTTCTTTCTATATTTTCTTTTTTTTTTAATTTATTTTTTGAATGTATGCAGTATGTACTTGACTATTTAATATATGAATTTTATTATTTACATGTTTACAGAATACTATAAATACCTAAAATTTCGAATATGGTGTTTGTGTACAAATGACTTGCATGCTTATAAAAATTATATATTTTCTTAATCTTATAATTTTTTAACAATCATAATTTGTATATTGTTCGACAATTGAACAAAGTTTAACTCATCAAATTGATCTTTTTTTTATTATTATTATTATAATTCTAAGTTCATGAAATTTTATCGATGACAATTAAACTTTAATTTGTAATAAATTTATTCGCTTATCCAACACAATTTTTTCATGGAAAATACGCCTTTTATATTTTCCAGTTTTTTGTTTATTCATTTCTTTAACTCATTTTTTCAAAATATATCATAAGTTAATTAATACACAATTTAAAAAAGGTAAATATATTATATACTCCAATAACTACCAAACACATAATTTTCCATTATAGTACTTGATTATATTTTTTTTATTTAATTATTTTTCTTTAAAAATATATATAGTTAGAGTTATATATATTTTCTTACAAAAATTTGTATATGAAAAAATTCATATGAAATTTATACCGACTATCAAAATACTAATCATACATACTATTTTATTCATCAATATTATCATTAATCCAAGTGATATATTCAAATAGACAATATTTTTATTTTTCTTATGGTAAATCATATATTTTAAGTTGTCCATATATTTTATTAGTATTTTAAATTTTTTATTTAATTAATATGATTCGAACATAGTTATTTTGTCTATTTTTTATATTTAAAGTGCTTTTGTCGGAGACCATAATTAAATAAATTAAAATATACAACCATAGAATAATAATATAAATAATTAAATATATTATCAAATTATAACGAATAGATATTTAGTTGTAATTAACTAAACATGAAATTATTTTACCATTGTATTAAAAATATATTTTTATTAAGCAATAAATATATTTAAATCAACTTATAATTAATGAATATTAACAATGGACTGAAATATAATTAATTTTCATCTATGAAGTTTGTTAAGAAATAAAAGCTAATTATATGTCAAATATAGCTGAAAAAAAAATTCCGCCATAATCATATCAATAATGGTAATATAAATTAGTCCACTATATATCTAAATATATATACATATTTTTAAAATATATAAAAATGAAAATTTATATAAAAAATAAATTAATTGGAAATATGAAAATAATATAGTATGCATGTGTTATTTAAACCAAAATAAAATAGTTTTATGTCTAGGTCCCAGCCTTCAAAATGGTGGTCCAACGATCTTTTTGGCCCAAGAGCCCAATTTTAAGGTTAGGCTTTACCAGCCCATTACGAAAGTACAAATATTAAAAAGAAAAGGAAAAAAAAAATGCTTTTCTCCACATCAACTAAACTAGACTTGAAATCAATGATTATCACAACTAGGGCTGCACACGAGTCGAGTGGCTTGCGTGCCGCTCATGAGCGTTCGAATTAAATCTCGGCTCGAACTCGAGTTTGACCGAACTCGAGTCAAGCTCGAGCGGCTCGAGCACGAACTCGAGTCGAGCTTGAGCCCATATTTAACATTGTCGAGCGACTCGCGAGTGGCTTGAGATATATGATAAATTACTAAAATACCCTTATATATGTATCATAATATTAATATATGTACTTAATGGTAATTTTACAAAGTTGCTTGAACTTTTCGAACCAAACTCGAGCCGAGCTCGAGCATTTGGAATTCGAGTTGAGCTCGAGCCGAGCTCAAGCTATTGTATCTTTTTATCGAGTCGAGCTCGAGCCTTAAAAATCGAATTCGACGAGTTCAAGCTCAAGCTCGAGCATCTAAAAAAAAAATTCAATCCTGTTCGATAAGGTCAATGCTCGACTCGGCTCAGCTTGTTTGCAGCACTATTTAGAACAAAGTAGTTGATGAGCCCGACTTGACTCGACACGTTAAGTTAAATTAGCTCGACTCAAAAATAAATATATATATATATATTTTTATAATTCAATTTGAGGTAAAAATGATTTTCTTCTTTATCGAGTCATTTAATTAACCGAAAACTCTATGCTTGTTTACATACATTATTCACACGAGAATCAAAATGATTTACATAGAAACCAGATTAGAACATGCTTTTCTTCCACATATGGCAACATCATCATCACTCTCCTACCCCAAAAAGAGAAACCGCTGCGCACTCGGTTTGTTTATCCTTTTCATTTTCTGCCTATTTTTCTTCAGCAGAAGGGTTATCGACCTACAAATCCCCATTTACAGAGATTTAACCCCGCAACAAATCCCTCTCTCCATCCCATCTCCTGTATCATCCACTGAGAAATTCGATGATTTAGCTAACCCCATCTTGTCAGCGTCCGATCCCGTCGATGATGTTGACGGAGATAACAGCACGTCGCCTGAGTTTCAAGAAGAGAGTAATAATGAAGGAGCAACTGTGGAAACTTCATCTGAATCTGATGAAAATGCTGAAAAACACACGGCGCCGGTTGTTTTGTCGTCAAACCCTGAATCTGAGGAGAATTCGGGTGAAGCCACAGATGAGCCCTTGTCTTTAGATGAAAATAATAATGTCCCCATTTCATCAAAATCCGATCTTGATGGTACAAACGGCGGAAAACAAGTTAACGAGGCAGCTTTGTCGGATACTGAGAAATCCGAAGGCTTTGTTGATAATGAAATGGCTGAAAAGTGGCGAAGTTGTGATTTTTACCAAGGGTCATGGGTGAGAGACGAGGTTTATCCGCTTTATCAAGAGGGTTCTTGCCCGTACATCGATGATGGTTTTGAATGTACGAACAATGGGAGACCTGATTCTGAGTATCTGAAATGGAGATGGAAGCCTGATGGATGTGATCTTCCCAGGTTGTTAGTGTTGCAAATTTTTATTGTTTAAAAGCTGATATTTTTTTTCTGTTTGTGGAGATTAATAAAGGATTCTCTGTGTTCTGGCAGTGATTATCTTTGGTTATCCTTCATTTAATAAAATTTGTTGATCTGCTCATGTGGGTGCCTATATTTGTTTGCATTTAGTGCTGTGCTTAGCTTGATTGAGCAGCATCGATGAGTTGAGGATGGAGTCAAACCAGCCCTCTTTACATATTATTTCATCTCTAAACTTTTTGACATATGTAAAACCTTTAGGAAGCCGTCAAAATGGACGTTTCGACTAAATGCTGCCTTTCTTGGGTAGATAGTGAACATCGTAGAATTTTAGGCTGCTAGCAAGGAAAATGCTGTATATGCCTTTGCACGAAACTATTCATAACTTTTTGAACAACTCTTTGAGACATCTAATATGTTTATTTATAAATTTAGACTGTTTAGCAATTTGTGTGTCTTTGTATCCTTTTGTTTGATGTTGCTGCAAAAAAAGCATTTTTTGTTATTATGGTGGCCACGCTCATCCTCCATTGCCCCTGTACAAAAATCGAATCTTGTGCAATTATCTATAATTAATGTGAGATCTTCCTAAATCTGTTGCTATAGGTAGTATGTAATTTGAAGAAGGGCTCCAATTTATTGGAGAATGAATTGCATGAATTAGCAACTTTATCCTGATATGACTAGATCAAGATGTGCTAACTCTAAAAAGTATTTTGTAGTTAAACATTCCACTCGCTGTTAAAAATCCACGCTAATCTCTATGATCACAATCGCAGTGTGCTTAAACCCTTTAACAGAAATGGTGCTTGATTTTTGTAGGTTCAATGCAACAGACTTTTTGGTGAGATTGAGAGGGAAGAAACTTTTGCTAGTTGGGGACTCTATGAACCGAAACCAGTTTGAATCTCTCCTGTGTCTTCTGCGTGAAGGTCTTCCTGATAAGAGCAGAATGTACGAAGTCCATGGGTACAAAATAACAAAGGGAAGGGGTTACTTCGTTTTCAAATTTGAGGTAAATTGAAAAAGTTGGGGAGAATTATTTTTATTTTTTCCTTTGCAAATGGTCATCAGTTAAAGGTCAACATTGTATGGTTCTTAAATTACAATTTGAAGAAAATACACGATCACCAAGTGAAGAATTGGATTCAGCTTTAAATTTTAACTGCTGGCTGTACTTTCTGATAATATAAATAGGTTTAATTACAAATACCACCCTCGAGATTAGGCTAGATAAAGAAAAAAGGTCATATAACTACGGATGTCACATAAAGTTTGATTCTGTCACACAAAACACTTGCCCGTGCAGGATTATAACTGTACAGTGGAATTTGTTCGTTCGCATTTCCTTGTCAGAGAAGGGGTTCGTATAAATGCACAAGGAAATTCGAACCCAATTTTATCTATCGACCGGATAGACAAGACAGCTCGTCGTTGGCAGAGAGCTGATATTCTCGTGTTCAATACAGGCCACTGGTGGACTCATGGGAAGACTTCTAGGGGGTATTTTGGTCTTTTTTTTCCTTTTAACCAAGTTAAAGTTATTTTTCTTGTTCCTAATTTAAATCAATTTGGAATGTATTGGCGCAGTAAAAACTACTACAAAGAAGGTGACTACTTGTATCCACACTTTGATGCTGTGGAAGCATATAAAAAAGCCATCAAGACATGGGCTACTTGGGTTAAGAAAAATTTACCCAAACAATTGGTGTTTTATCGTGGCTACTCGTCTGCTCATTTCAGGTATTATTTTTCACTACTCTACTTTGCTTTGTGAAAGATAGCTGGAATTTTTCGTGTGTTATCTTCACGATTTTCCCTTTAACAGAGGTGGGGACTGGGATTCAGGAGGGTCGTGCAATGGGGAAACCGAGCCCGTAAAAAGCGGGCCCATTATCGATAGCTATCCTACAAAGATGAAAATTGTTGAGGAAGTCCTTAGAGAAACTAAGGCGCCCGTTGTGCTTTTGAACGTCACGCGTTTGACCAATTTTCGAAAAGATGGTCACCCTTCGGTTTTCGGTAGGAACGTGACAGGTGGCAAGAAAGTGTCGACCCGAAGACAAGATTGTAGCCATTGGTGTCTGCCCGGAGTGCCTGATGCCTGGAACGAGCTAATATACTCCACATTGGTTGCTCGACAAATTTAGTTTATGCATTCTTATAAAGAGAGCAAAATCTTTGGATTTTTTGTAAGCGATGCCGATTAGTATAGTATTAGTTTGTAAAATTAGGACAACACATTCTTGCTTTTGTGAGAGTGAATATATAATGTGGTTAGACTGATTGCATAAGTTTTTAGCTGTGAGAAAAAAAGGTAAACACTGTTGGACAACACAAGTAATATCTGTAATGAGAAAATTTTGTAACTTTTGGCATCATATGAGATTTTGTTTGTTCAGTGATAGTTTCCTCTCGTGTGAGACTAGTCTAAAACAATGTACATAAATTTGTTTTATACTTTTTCTTCTTTCCTTTTTAAAATAGTTTAACGGGGTACACAAGCACTCATTGGACATTGCATTTGCTGTATTTGGTGTTGGTACTTGTATGAATGGTAATCCATTTTTTAAATATGTAAATGTATAAATAGTTCATGATCTAATGTATAAATATGTTGTTACTTTTACTTGGATAACAAATGTTATTAGAAGTTACGGAAATGTTCGTTTTCCCACATGGCACATCTTAATGTGTTCACAAATTACGAGTTAAGGTGTCTTGATCTTAAAATATTGAGATTTTGTAATCTTTGACCAACTCATCATGTATTGAGATTTTGTAATCTTCGAACAAATTCATCATGTATGATATGCTAATCTCTTACCTTAGCAGTTGGTGAACATATTAATTTGTGCCTATATGCCAATGTAAACATTCAAAATTTAATATTTTTAGATTAATATTTATACTTATTTTTAGATATCTCTCTTATCTTATTCTCTTATCTATAAAAAGGTAGCCATGTCTCCAATTTTTGACAAGTGTCCCTCCTCTCTCAATGAAGCCACGTCGCCGGTCGCCCTCATTCATACGACGTCGTTTGTGTCTATTATCGTCTAAACGTGCGTGTTCACTTCCTCCACAGACAATCTTTCGCACCCAATTTTTCTAGCCTTCAAATCGGAATCTGCCATTCTTCCTATGCAAAAGTCTTCATTTTTTTTTTCGTTACGCCCGATTTTGAAGCCTCCATATCTTAATCTCCCGTCCTTATTTCCTCTGCAAATCTTTTCGATTTTTTTTTCCTTTTGGGTCTCATTTTCTGTCGTCGTGTGGTTCGAGTTTAACGACAACATCAAGAGCAACGACAGATCCGACGATGCCGAGGAGTTCGGGTTCTTGTCAGACTCGGTGGGATTAACAAGGTTGGATGTGCAAGAATTTTTAGTGTTTATTTTATTTGAATTTATTTTCGATAGGTTTTAGAAGTTTGTGTGATCGGTTTGAAATTTAATTTTTATTTTCTAAGGCAACTTTTTTCTTCTGTTTGTCTGCTTGCTTTCGTCTGAATTGGGTTTTAGGAAGTAATCGGTGGGTTAGGGTTTTAGTTTTTCGCTTTCTGACTTTGATTTAGGTTCGGTGTTGAATTTGTGTAGGTTTAGTGTTGGGGTTTATCTGCGAGGTGTTGATTGATTATAGAGGATTATGGTTGGATCGGATAGTTTGAGTTCGTCTCCTTCCCCGTCTCATTCTATGACCGAGAAAAAACAGTCGTCCTAGCAGTGGTGCTTCTCAAGGTCTCTGTCGCATGCAGGACCCCTTGATAAAAATATCAAAGATATGGGCAGTTGGAGAAGGTTCGTTCCATGTTGTTGATTGGTTACCAAAAGTTATTTTATTGTGAGGTGTGCTTGCAAATTATGTATTGGGAATTTTTATGTAGTAGAACTTGCTTTTGTTGCGATTTAGTTTTTCGTGGAGTCGGGACTTCATGAGAGCGCAGAAGAAGCTGCCTAGGGGAGGAGGTTCTGGACAAACAAAGGAAAGTATGTGTGCACTAATTGTTGTTTCATTTTGATGCCCAATGGAATGGTATGTGTATTTGGTTGATTTTTAAAAATGAAAGTGGTTCAAGGAAATCGAAGTATGAACATATAAGAAGGACTTTACCCATTTCGGTTGTTGAACGTTTTGTTTAGTGTGTGAAAGGTTTCAATATTGACAATTTTTTTTTGTATTTGGTAGATTTTTGAATAGGAAGAATGTATCTTAAATTGATATGGCTGATCAAAATAAAGTGATTAAAAGCTTAGTGTGTAAAGCCTATCAATGCTTAAAGTGATTAAAACTGACAAAGCATCCTTTGAGTTATGATCGTTGTGGTTGTGATGCAGGTACTTTCAAGTTTCAACACGATTGGATCCCATTCCGTAAAATAATATTGATCTCGCAAAAGATTTTGGAATGGTTTCTCCTCTTCATCTCTACTTCAAATGTTTGAAAAAACTTCTCCCGATTTACATTGTTGTTAGTTTAGAAAATTGCCCAAAAAAATCCAAGGCATCTTTGTTCACATTCTCTTGGAGTTGGGAAAGATTGGTCCTGTAAGACTTTCTTTATACTATATTTTAATAAATAACTATCAACAGAGATGCTTAACTATTTTGTGGATTTTTATATCCTTTTGTCAATAAATCTATTTTTGGATTATTATTTTTTTTGAAGGATTTGTTTGAGGAGCCTGTTGATATATCTCCTCCCGTCTACAGTACCTCCACCACCACCACCATTAGTCTACAAAATCAAAGAAAGGTAATTTTCATCAAATTCAGTGGTGTCATCATTTTTCCATTCTCTAGGTCCAAACGGTTGACTAATATTCTATCAACTTAAATTTTATGGAGAAATAGTAGTAAGAGCATTCTTATAGTCCCTTCAAGAGCCAAACCTGTAAACCTATGAATATATAATTATATATTTGAATTTCTAGAACTACATAAGGATATTTTGCTTGACAAATGTTTGCCAATCATCCTTCAGGATCTACTGTATATTTATGAAGGTGAAGGGTGTTTGTAATAGTTGGCAGATATTTATACTTTTTAAAGAATAATTAGAATTTATATTAAGCAAATAAATGTTTAAATTTTTACATGGATCTTCTTCCTCAACAGGAACAAGCTTTGAAAATGAAGTATGAAAAATATATTTGTTTTAGAAAAATATATTTGTTTTAGAAAATTTAAAATACAAGTAATATTATATATTTATTATTTTTAGGTGACATTTTCTAATACATGACAAAGGGAGAGCAAAATAAAGAAAGCATGAGGCGAGCACGGATACAAGAATAGAACCTCCAACGGTGTTGCAAAAATCATAAACATGTGCAAATATTTTTTAACCTAACATGTGAGCCGCCAGCTCATGTCGTTGGGGAAGAAGCGGGGTAGAGGAATTGCTCATGTAAGTCACTGCTCATACAATTACTGCACCCACAAATTCTAAAAATAGTTGAAAAAAAGACATTGTGCTTTATTACATTTAAGTTACTTCATAGATACTCATTTCATCAAGTTTATTTCGATCCCAAAAGATAAAGTGAATAAATACCAAATCAAACAGTTATTTTAAATTTTGGAAGGATGAAAACTCCGGTGCAAGTGTTAGCGGATATCATATTCGTGTCGTTCTAGATTATTTATCTTCTTTGATATTGATTATTAATTATGTTGGTGGTCATATCTATTAGGTTTTAAACTTTTACTTCATTATTTATTGTGTTGTCTATTACATCTCTTAGTAGATCATTTTGTTTATTACTTTTGAAGAAAGAAAATGGAAGAATGAAGTCAAAGGCCAGAACTTTTTTTACAATTATGAATTATGAAATTTTGATGTCCCTTTTTTTATATTTCTTTTGAACAAATTTTTATATTTCTTTTGAATTACATAGTCTTACAAATAATAGGATCATGATCATTAGAAATATCTTTTGTTCTCATTTTTTGTATTTACATCAATTTTTATTTCATTATGATTAGTTGTTTGGTTAAGGTTAACCATTCTGAGTATTATATTGAGTTTGCATTGAAGGTTCAGTGACTATTATATTTGAATCGATTCCAACCGGTGATGAAGGTCAATTCCATCTAATTTTTCTTCTCCCTTCCCGTAGTGGGGCGGATTTCCGATAGTTGGAAAGCCGTGTTTACCAGCTCATATGTGCTTGGATTAATAGAGGCATTTTATATGTTTTGAGCATATTTTACACATTCAAATTTTCAACAAGTGTACGTTATTAAACACATGATTATGATTAAGATCCTAAATGATAGGTTGGAATGGAATTGACAAAATTAGGAATCTAATATGTAGCGTGCTCTTAACTATTTATGTAATTTTACTGACAAAAAAATGTTAATGTTGGTAGAGATGAAACAAAAATAGGTACCGGATATAAAATTGAAATCTTTACGAGTTATTAGCCTATTCTCGATCCTTTGTTGATTCCTTTGATTTAGGGGTTTCATGTATTTAGGGTTCTAGACATCAATTGATGTGGTATTTTTATTTACGGTATTTTTTATTTATGGTTTTAATGTTTTACTTTCTTTATTTCAATTGATTAAATAACGTAAGTCGGCCGTGCTGTGCACGGCACGAGCCTCCTAGTCTATATGTATATATGAAAGAGGTAGAGGATTTCAAATGGCTGACATGTGTCCATTTTTATGGCCTTCTTATCAGGACACGTGTCCAATTTAATTCACCTTATTGCCACCTCCTTTTCATTTTGTTGTTCTCCGATGTTGCACATTGCTTCATTTATCTCTTATTTGCCCCTTTCTTTCTTACTTTATTCAGCTTTTTGGGGTGTGTGGAGGTAATTTCGCTCAGTTGAACAGTTGCCCACGTAGTCTTCTTCACCGCGTACTTTTGTAAGATTTTCTGCTACGATGCGTGCGATATCACTTCCTACCTTCTACGTTGATTGGATTTCCGTAAATTGTGGTTCTTTACAGTTTTGTTTTTTCTTCTTCACTTTTCTAAACCGAGGATGAATTCAAAAATATATTAATCTCTCCAATTTTCAAACCCTAGCCTCTCTTTTGCTCTCCAAGACTTTCAAGCAAGGAGCTCTATTTCTGCTGAAGAATGGAGAAATCGCGTCGACGATTCCGGGCGAAGGCAGCGTGTCGGGCGGATCACCGCCCACGGCTCCAGTGCTTCCTCTCTCCTCCGGTGAGCTTCCGTTGTCTAGGAAGAGGTGTGTGATAGCATCTCTGGAAAGACCTCCGACTCCTCGCGATGCCAGTGCAGAGAGAGGTACCATAATTTTTGTGGGAAAAGAAATTCGATCGAAGCATGGAAAATTTTCAATTCAGGGCAACAATTGTAATTGAGATTAGTGTAACCTCTTATTTTTTCTCCCAATAATCTTACGGTTGTAGCTCCAGTTACCTCATTCGGTTTTCTCGCTGACATTTTTTTGACCGAGCAGAGACACTCCGTATACAAAGATTTGCTACCCAAAAATCTGCTCTGTCGTACCTACGAATGGACTTTCGCGCTTGCGTGTGGATGGCCTTCCGGGATTTGTGGTGTATTTCGTCCAAATTGTCGATGTGATATCGTAAAATCCAAACCCAAATCAAACACGCAACCCGGACCGCTCTTGCTTTTTCATCTTCGAGACCACCTTTCTTTTCATTTGCACAAGAGATTTTGGGGGAAATGGCAACAGGTAATGTTTCTGGTTTTTGCTTTGTGCTTTTGAATTCTCTATATCATTATATGGGTTTACTTTCAGCCCCAGGTGAACCTAAATAAAATAGGGAAAAAGGCAGATAGACGATATAACACAGAAGACAAGCAAGAGGTGATTCACAGAGGCAGCACGAATTACACGGCGGCAACGAGGTTTCCATCAACATCGTCTGCCATTGAGCCCTGCGTGGTTGCCGGTAAGTCCTCGCAGCATCTTTATCTTTATATTAATTGAAACAAAATATGGAATTATGCTTAATACAGACGAATTGTGCTTCGCTAAGGTTGGTTTTGATGGGAGATGAGGAGTAATTGAGGATTGCGGCAGATGAGATCAGATGATCCTTGAACAGCCTCATTTTGATGAGGTAATTGGGCTGGATATGGAAAAAGAAAGATAGAGGCGGCTTTCAGTGAGCCGTGGGAAGGGCAAGGCACGTGTTGTGGAGTTTGGACGCTTTGGTCAAGTGCTATTCCTATGAAGGTATTGTTATTTTTTTCAGATTAGCATTCAGGTCACGTGCTTTATTTGTCTGGAAATTTTTGATGGGGTGTGAGATTGAGGTAGAGCTATTTCGGTTCGATTGTTTGTGAGTTGAATTACGATTGGTCGTAACTTAATTGTAGTCGATTCTAAGAGTATGTTTGTGATTGTGGTGAAGAGTGTTAAAGTAAAATGGTTTTCAACATTTAACTACTTGATAGAACTTATGTGAACACTTTCCTACAAAACTCCCTTTGTTGAGGTCTCAGTCAGATCTGTGAAAAGCTCTTCTCTGTTTTTTGCTGCTGGAGGTTCGTATAATCTTTTGAAATTAGAGTATCTTCGTTGTATTTTTATCCTTCGTGTTCGTTAATTCGAGTTGTATTTTCAATTTTGTTCTGGATTAATAAATATCATTGTTGAATTTATAGTCATGTTTAGCTTATTTGGAAATTGTAGAGATGGAAAGGAGGTGGAATTATTTGGATATATCCCACTTGGAACTTAGATCTGCTATGCTTGATATGGATCGCAGTTTTGTTTTTCTCCTTTTTCTTTTCTCGCTCTATCTCTTTTTAGTCTTAGTTATTTGGTTCAAGTGATTGACTCCGACAATCTGAATCCTTTTATTGCTCTGAACATGAAAGGTGGAAAGGACTTCTCAACTGCGATTTTGTACAGGAATACGTGGCTAATCTGGTAATTGTAGATGAGGCGGTGACGCAGGCGGATCGAACGGTGGAGTCGGCGTGCGGAGCAGACGGCGTCAGGGGCACGTACTCTCGACTCTTGATTTCTGAATTCTGATTAACATGATGAAATGTATGCCGACTAATTTGCAGGTAGGTTCACCTTCATTTTGTCTTCTCTACACCCACATACGACTACCTTTCCGTTCGCTGCCCTTCGATTCTTTTGGTTTCCAATTTGTAAAAATTCAACTTATACAGTTTTTTAATCTTTATAAATGGGCAGGTCTGTTTGATGTTATTGTACCACTTACAAAATCGTGTTTAAGGGCCCTGGAGAGAAGGTCAAACCCAAACGGTTGTCAACTTTTCTGGAGAAGCGTGACCTCTATCGGTAGGTAACTCTTGTGGTTAGAGTTAAGGATTTTTAAATGTATGGAGGACATTTGAGATACCAACTATGTTTGTTTTGAAATGTTTATACGCTTTTTGCCTTTTTTATAGTATTAAGATCAAAGTACCGTTATTTCATTACATATCTCTCTTTGTTTCATAGTTGGATTGCTAAAAGTTGAAGCAAGAGTGAAAGAGGAAGTATAACAATAGATATCACATTCCCAGTTACGTTAGTTGTATTTTTCATATAAATTTGTGTTATATGTCCTTCAAGCCTATCTTAGGTAAATGGAGGTAATAATAGCTCTTTTAATTTACTTTTTTTTTTCTTTTTTTTTTTTTTTTTTTTNTAATTTACTTTTTTTTTTTCTGTTTTTTTTTTCAATGCTACTAGAATTAGTATATGCAAATTTTAGTAAAACTGTTTCCTATATGACCAAATCGCTTAGTTATGTCTTCTGACACCCTTTGAATTTATACTCCAATCAACTAACAAGTTTGTAATATCACGCAAAGATTTTGGCCAACCGACAATCTGCAGCTCGATCGAAAGAGAGAAGGCACGTTATATATCTGAGCTGGACAGAAAATTTCAGACCCTTGAAGCTGAGGCGACAACTCTCTCAGCTTAACTCACTTTGTACCAGGTATTTCATTAAATTTCTCTCCAACTATGTGAAACATGTTTTAGGTATTCGCTTTGGCTCTAATATTTTAAAATTGAAGGCTTTGAGAACTGGTTTAGATGTTAGTTCGTATTTCATCAATGTTCTGTTTTGTTGAGGGTAGAACTATCATAAATAACAAGGTAGGAAGAAGTGTGCTGACTTCAAAGTTCCGATAAAAAAGACGCACATTGAGCGCGCTTTGCTGGTAAGCATTTAACATCTAAAATTAGTAGCTAAAAAAAAGTTGTCAATTGCAAGGCTTTACAACCAATAATCTAATTCAATTATATCTTATCTGCAATTTTAGCCAATTCTCCTGCCATTTTGGAGGGAACACATTAAGCCGCTGAATGATGACACCACAATCACGCGAGCTGGTGGTGTTGACTACCAAATGGATATTGTAGGAAAGAAAATTATGTAAGGTTATAGATGTGGAGCCTTTTTAAACGAAATGACATCGTTGAAAGGTTAGTCTGCGAGTTTACTCTCATACCGTATGAAGGAATTGCTTTTAAGTTTAAAATTTAGTCAGAGTTTATGTTATGTTGTTATATTGGGTAGATTATTAGGTTACCGGTAATTTCTGCTTTCGAACACAATTTAGGATTTAAACACATTCGGCAAAGCCCTATTTCGATTGAAACGATTTGGGGAATTTCAATTGTGCCGATTCAAGCTCTCAATTTTCTATCAATTGCTCTCTTTCTTCTTTTACTTGTTATAATCATTTTTTTTTTCTTTTTTCCTGATTTACAATGTCTTTGATTTGAGTTGCACAGTTGTGGGTTCCAAATTGTGGACTACATCTTGCTTCAATTTAGGACTTTTTAGATTCAATGAAGATATTGGTATTTCATTTATGGATTTTGGTTTCGAATCTTTTGAATATGTTTGGTTAACCGATAACCAAACCGAACCGACCGATAGATATTCGGTTAAAAACCGAACCGAATTATAAAATTCGGTTCAGTTTTCGGTTTGAATAATGGATGCGGTTCGGTTTCGACCGAATGTGCACCCATGGCCCCATATTTCAAAAATACATATATACTACAATATTTGGGACCACACACCTCTCCCTATCCATTAATCAGTACGCCTCTCCATCTTCCCCCTTTCTATCTCTGTCAAATCAAGCTCAGTCTCAGTCTCTGTCGCCTCTCCATCTCCCTCTACTCTCTCTCAGATTCTGTCAAATTAAACCAGAAGAATGGCGTCCATCGTTTTATGTATCGCCATTTTGGTCTTCACATCCGCCGGCGCCGCCTCTGTGCTCCCGC